AATCTGAGATAAATTACAAACCAAATTAAATGTACACATACATTTATACAATGGGCATAACCAATATATGTGATGATCAGGTAGACCTCATAATGGCAAGGATTGTCTTCTATTAGAAAACTGAGATAATCTATCAGATTAACACAATTGGTTCAAAGACAATGAAACCCGACAGAATTTTACAGAGGAGAAGTTGGACCTTTTGACAGTCTAGTAATAAAAGATAATGTCCCTAATATGTTTATTGTATCTACCATCAAAATACCTGCTCTTAACTGTATGTTACAAGCATTTCTTTTATATTCGGCACAGGTGGGCCAAAAGTGCAGTGCACGTTAGTTTCTGTCAACTTGACACAAAGTAGAGTCACCTAGGAAGAGCAAAACTCAACTGAGGAATGTTCTTACTTTCCAATATTCCCTTGATGCTTCTCCCTTTATTTTTTCTATTATTTTCTTTTAGATTCAGTATCAACCTAAGAATATACCCAAAATAAACCCAAAGTGGAATTACTCTGTTCCATGCAAAAAAATATAATTCTACAGCTGAAATTATTTACTTTGGTTTTGGACTTCCATAGATCACTTAGTATTTAACTTTTTGATACTTAATCATTTCTTTATAAAAATTAATTGAAAATAAAAAGATAATAATAGTAGAAAAAGCTGTGTTGCTATTTATGCAATTTATTCTCATGTCATAATTTTTATTTTCACTATGAGATGAACTTTCTTCTTGTTAGCTGAAAAAAAAGAACAAAAATAGGTAAACTGTAATGGTAATCGTGTGTTCCCTCCAAATAATAATGAAAGGGAACGTGTCCCAGAGTTTTTACTTAATATTTAATATGTGGTAAGTGAATTAGGTTGTCACATAACACACCGTTGAATGGATATACAGCGTAAGAGAACTACCACTTAACCAGTGGGAAGCACATCATATGTTCAGAACATGTTACCTCTGTGTGTTTGTACGATGTGCACATGTGTGTATTTTCATGCTCCTTTGTATGAGCAGAGGCTTACACATGCCATGGCATGCATGTGGAGCGGTAAGGGTAACATTTGTGTCAGTCCCCACTTCTCACTTTATTTGAGACAAGCCCTCTGGCCCATGGCTTATGGAGATTCTCCCATCTCTGCCTCCTGATGGAGGAAGGTCATTGGCTAATAAAGGAACTGCCTTGGCCCATTTTATTGGTTAGAAGATAGGTGGGAGGAGTAAACAGAACAGAACGCTGGGAGGAAGAGGAAGTGAGCTCAGACTCCACAGCACTCCTCTCGGGAGCAGACGCCTGAGAGAGATGCCATGCCCTGCTCCCGGGCAGACACACGCCATGAAGCTCCAACCCAGGATGGACTAGGCTAGAATCTTCCCCGTAAGACTGGTTCTCACAGATTATTAGAGATGGGTTGATCGGGACATCAGAATTAGCCAGTAAGGGCTGGAGCTTAAAGGGCCAAGCAGTGTTTAAATGAATACAGTTTGTGTGTTGTTATTTCGGGGCATAAGCTAGCCAAGCAGGTGGCCGGGGTGCTGGGAATGCAGCCCCGCCACTCTTATTACTACAGCCTCCCATTGTGCTGTAGGAGCACTGGGACTGAAGACATAGTACCACATCTGACTTTTTAGTTTGTTCTAGTGATGGAAACTCGGACCCTCATTTGTGCAGCAATTACATTTCCTTCTAAATCATTACCTCAATCCCCCAGAATTTATCTTCACAAAGCTGTCAGATAATTTAAATTAGTATGAAATTGAAATGTCTTTATTTTTGTGGTTATTTTATGTAATTGGTAAATGTGCTAAGAATATTATGCATGTATGAGCTGTGCACAGTCAATTTTATATGTGTATATCAACATCATGTAATCTAAACCGACACTGAATGTCTGTTAAGCCTTTTTTCTTTTCAAAAGATTTGTATAACAATCCTATACAATAAAGGATCTTCTGGAAGCATTACCATCCCTGACTTCAAACTCTATTACAGAGCTACAGTAATGAAAACAGTGTGGTACTGGCATAAAAACAGAGAAGTCGACCAATGGAATCGTATAGAAGACCCGGATTTTATCCCACAAACCTATGAACACTTCATTTTCGATAAAGGAGCTAAAAGTATACAATGGAAGAAAGAAAGCATCTTCAACAAATGGTGCTGGCACAACTGGATGTCAACCTGTAGAAGAATGAAAATAGACCCATATCTATCACCATGCACAAAACTCAAGTCCAAATGGATTAAAGACCTCAATATCAACCCGAACACACTGAACCTGATAGAGGAGAAAGTGGGGAATACCCTACAACAGATGGGCACAGAAGATCGCTTCCTATGTATAACCCCAGAAGCACAGACATTAAGGGCAACATTGAATAAATGGGACCTACTTAAACTGAGAAGCTTCTGCAAAGCAAAGGACACTGTCACCAAGACAAAAAGGCAACCTACTGACTAGGAGAAGATCTTCACCAACCCCGCAACAGACAAAGGTCTGATCTCCAAAATATATAGAGAACTCAAGAAACTAGACTTTAAAATGCTAATTAACCCAATTAAAAAATGGGGCACTGATCTGAACAGAGAATTCTCAACAGAAGAAATTCAAATGGCCAAAAGACACTTAAGGTCATGCTCAACTTCCTTAGCAATCAGGGAAATGCAAATCAAAACAACTTTGAGATATCATCTTACACCTGTCAGAATGGCTAAAGTCAAAAACACCAAGGATAGCCTTTGCTGGAGAGGCTGTGGAGGAAGGGGTACCCTCATCCATTGCTGGTGGGAATGCAATCTTCTGCAACCACTGTGGAAGTCAGTGTTTAGGTTTCTCAGGAAATTCGGGATCAACCTACCCCTGGACCCAGCAATACCACTCTTGGAAATATACCCAAGAGATGCTCTATCATATGACAAAAGCATTTGTTCAACTATGTTCATAGCAGCATTGTTTGTAATAGCCAGAACCTGGAAACAACCGAGATGCCCTTCAATGGAAGAATGGATGAAGAAATTATGGAATATATACACACTAGAGTACTACGCTGCGGTAAAAAACAATGACTTCTCGAAATTTGCATGCAAATGGATGGAAATAGAAAACACTATCCTGAGTGAGGTATCCCAGACCCAAAAAGATGAACATGGGATGTACTCACTCATAATTGGTTTCTAGCCATAAATAAGGGTCACGGAGTCTACAATAGGTGAACCTAAAGAAGCTAAGTAAGAAGGTGAACCCAAGGAAAAACATATAGTTATCCTCTTGGCTAAGGGAAGTAGACAAAATTGCCGGGGAGAAAATTGGGATCTTGGTCTTGGGGTGGGATGGGGGTAAGGGGGAGTTGGGGAGAGAAAAGTTAGAAGGGAAGGAGAGGGGGACTTGGGGAAACAGGAGGATTGGGATAAAGGAAAGTTGGATAGGGGAACACGGAACCACAATTCTTAGTTAAGGGAGCCACTTTAGGGTGGGCAAGAGACTTGACCCTAGAGGGGCTCCCAGGTGCCCAAGCTGAGGTCCCCAGTTAGTTCCTTGGGCAGCTGAGGATAGGGAACCTGAAATGACCCTATCCTAGAGCAATACTGACGAATATCTTGCATATCATCATAGTACCTTCATCTGGTGATGGATGGAGATAGAGACAGAGACCCACACTGGAGCACTGGACTGAGCTCCCAAGGTCCCAATGAGGAGCAGAAGGAGGGAGAACATGAGCAAAGAAGTCAGGACCACGAGGGGTGCACCCACCCACTTAGACAGTGGAGCTGATCCACTGGGAGCTCACCAAGGCCAGCTGGACTGTGACTGAAAAAGCATGGGATAAAACTGGACTCTCTGAACATGGCGAACAATGAGGGCTGATGAGATGCCAAGGACAATGGCATGGGGTTTTGATCCTACTTAATGTGCTGGCTTTGTGGGAGCCTAGCCAGTTTGGTTGTTCACCTTCCTAGATATGGACAGAGGGGGGAGAACCTAGGACTTACCACAGGGCAGGGAACCCTGACTGCTCTTTGTACTGGAGAGGGAGGGGGAGAGGAGTGGGGGGAGGGGGAGAAGAGTGGGAGGAGGGGGAGAAGGGTGGGAGGAGGGGGAGGGAAATGGGAGGCTGGGAGGAGGTGGATACTTGGTTTTTTTTTTCTCCTTTTCGCAATTAAAAAAAAAAAAGATTTGTATATTACCCCAAGGAGGTACTGATACAGATGATACGTTGTAGCTGGGGCCAGAGTAAGAAGTACGGATTTGGATTATAGCTACATTTTGGTTGTACCATCAAAATGAATCTTTTTCTATTCATTATGGCAAGTTCCATTTGTCAAGTAGTCTTAAAGGGCGTTGTTCAGATCTTAATTCAGTATGCCCCATTTATTGGTTATTTCTCAAATATACTATTTTTAAAGTAGATAAAATGAGGAGTAACTTTTAATTTCTTTTCGGAACCATGGGTTTTATAGTTTATTGCTTTAAGTAGTGTCCCATTATAACTTCATATCATCTTAATTTGCACCATATCTTCTTATAGTCTTTATAGTTATTATGTAAAATGATTTAAATAGCTAAAAACTGGGTTGATTCTTTAGGCATTTTTACTTAGAGAATATTAATATAAGTTGATCATAGACTACATTATTATAGTTTATTACAAATTCAATATGATTTTAGATACTTGCTTTTTATTCATCAGTGGGTTTTTAACTAGAGCTATTTGACCAGGAACTAAAATTATTTGAAATAGTTTGATCCTACTTTTATGAAACTAAATGTTTTCAATATAATATTTATAATAAGACTAATTGAAAATTGTAACTGAATTACCAAAGTTCTATAAATAGTGGTTATATTGTTTGTATTTAACATTATTTATACCTACCATTTTTGTTGCAAAAGAAATCCTTGTCTCTGAGAGAATACAGTGGTGTTATTTACATTAATTCATATGGCTTGGTTAAAAAAATGCTAACTCCTTTACTTAATGGGATTCTTCCCTTGTGGCAGTGCAAACGGCTGCACCGGGAGCTTCATCGTCTGAAAGAGCAGAAGCAGACTTCAGCAAACAACACGAGACACCCGACTGCTGAAAACAATCAGGAACGTGCTCTGAAGGTAAATGGCCATTCCTTCTTGCAGGCAAATTAAGGTTGTAAGCCCTCGGTGCCAGCTTTCTGTGCTGCATATATCAGATGTGTACATTTCAGCAATAGTGAGCCGTGCTGTTTGCCAACAACCCCTTCTTTAAACACAGGCACAGCACCCTTCTGTTATGGTATTATTTTATTTCATGTATGTGTACAGGAAAAAAAAATTCTGAATTTTGAGTGGTCGTATATTAATAACTTCTGGTGTATATATTTATTTTATTTATATTTTTATGTTATTACCTTTTATACTTAAATGATAAATCATCAGCCTTTTCTTTGTAGCAACATTTGTTACACAATTTTAAACGTGTTGTAGTATTTGTCATCCAGAGAGCTAACGCTGCTTGAAGGACATGTGGATTTGTTTGGAAATTGAAGGAATACTTAAATTGTTAAAACAAAAGAAAGAAAAGAAAGATGGTTGTATTCAACTAGAGCTTGAAACATGTGACATATGTATTTTATGGCATGTTCTATCTCGGTGCAATACAGATACATTAATCGTGAAGGAGAAAAAACATTCTGAGTCTTACTGTTTGAGTGGGGTCTGTGCTCATGACTTCCCATTCTACTTTTTTTTTTCCTTTCTGTTATTGTTTTTGGGGGGAGGGGTTCAAGACAGGGTTTTTCTGTAGTCCTGGCTGTCCTGAAACTCACTCTGTAGAATAGGCTGGCCTTGAACTAGAAGATCCAACTGCCTCTGGCTCTTGAGTGCTGGAATTAAAGCTATGCACCTCCGTGCCCTTCCATTAACTTTTAAGTTACTTTAGTTTCTAGTAAAGTGTCTATGAAATACTCATAGTCTCTGCCCCTCAAGGTGTTTGCATGTTCATTATCAAGTTTAGTATGTGAGAAACAAAAATCATGTGTTTATTATACAACAAGAGATTTTCTAGACTTGTGCTATTGTTAGTCGCATTAAATTCATCTGTTGCATCTGTTAAATAAAGCTGACTTTAAGTCCTGGATAAGAGAAGGGGAAGAGTCAGTTCATCAATTTAGTCTTTGTAAAAGCTCTGTTTATGTTGAAATTCTTAAAAATGTCTGCCATGCATAATGCTGAGTTTTAGTCTATTTTTAAGTATTTCATCACAGAAAACAAGTTTAGTATAAGACTATGTATAATACATCTCCTTATTCTTTTTTAAAAAGATTTATTTAGTTTCATTTTATGTGTATTAGTGTTTGCTTGCATGTGTGCATGTACACCATGTATATACCTAGTGCCTTTGGAGGACAGAAGAGGACTTGCTATCATGGAGCTAGAGTGACAGAGTTGTGAACTTCAGCATGCCTGCTAGGAATCAAACCCAGGCAGGTCCTCTGTAAGAACAACTGCTCTCAACCACTGAGCCATCTCTCTGACCCACATTTATTTATTCATCCTAAATCACAGTTTTAAAATTAGTTTTAATAAGAGTTGTTTGGGGAAATCTTACTCTTCATTTGGTAATATTTTTCTGGTTGTCATTCAAGTTATGAAGGACACGTTTGATATGAAATTATCAGTCCATTTATATGTACTATAGAATATTAACTGATTAAACATTAATTTTGTAGCTAAATGGACATTAAGAACATTTTTAAAAGAGTGATTGTCTTTAGAAATATTTAATCTCAGCAGTATTTCTGATATTACATGTCCTATCATCAATCTTGATAAATATAAATTTAAATAAGGTAAAAAATTGAAATTTTTCTTTCTTTTTTGACTCAGTTATACTGAAAATATATTTGGTTAAAAAAATCAAAGTTAGTGATCATATATTATGTAGAACTCTGTGAAGTGGTAATGATGGCAAAGCTGCAATCAATGTACAAGGAAACACTTTAAGGTATTTTATTATTATTATTATTCAAATAAACATGCCTGTTTTTCAATATCCAGAAAATTCTTTCTAGATAATTTTTATGGTGGATAACATCAGATTTTTTGTGAATTTTAATAGGCTTTCTTTTTTATACCAACAAAGATTTTAAATATTATTTTATTAATTTTTAGCAAATTTTATACAATGTATTTTGATCATAATCACTCTACCCCAACTTCTCTAGATGCACTACCACCTCCCTACTTAACCAAATTAATGTTCTGTCTCTCTTCTCTCTCTTTTCCTCCCTCTCCCTCTCCTCGCCATTCAGTCCAGTTTGTGTTACCCAACTATTCTTGGTGTGGTGTCCTGACCTTGAATATACCACAGTTCACACCATTAAAGAAAACTGACTCTCCCTCTCTCAGAAGCTATCAGGTACCAATAACTTCTCAATCAGGAGTCAGCCTTCATACCTGTTGCCCTGCTTTGTGCTGGGATTTTGTCTGGTTTGAACTTATACAGGTCACAGTCTCTGTGAGTTCAGATATGCAAACCTGTTATGTACAAAGCACTATTTCCTTGAAATCATCTACAACCTGTGGCTCTTATAATCTTAATACTTCCTCTTTTACCAATACTTCTGTGACTTGAAGAATGGAGTGCATATCACAGACATAAATGGGACAGCTGCACTCCAAAGTCTCTTAGGCATTGACCAGTTCTGTGTCTCTGTGTTAATTGTATCTACTACAAGGAGAAGCTTCTCTGTTGACAATTGAGAGACATGCTGATCTATGGCTACAGTGATTGTTCATTAGGGATCTTTTAATACTATATTTGCTTAGCAGAACAGCAGTTGTAGGTTCTCTCTTAGGGCCTATGGTATATCTAGCCCTGGTTCTTGGCCTCATGAACAGTGCTGGGTATGGGTTCCATTCCATGAAGATGGCCTTAAATTGAGCCAGAAAGTGGTTGGTTAAAACCATAACATGTGTGCCACTGTTACAACAGTGGGCATATCTTGTCAAGCCAGACATCATTGTAGTTCAAAAGGGTTTAGAACTGGGTGAATGTGATGATTGTTCTTCTCTGATACTATTCATAGCACCTTCCAGCATTATGGAAGCTATATGCTAGTAGGGATGAAGCTTTGAGGTCAGCACACACTCGATTTCTCCGTGTTTATGATTCAAATGAGTGATATCCTCAGCAATAGGGTCTCATTGTCAAGCTCTGCATGGAGGATAACCAAGAGCCGTGGCAGTAGCCTGTAATTTTAGGGCCCTTATGGGGTACCATTGGCAACATGTCAAATGGAAGTCACCCATTTCTGATACTGTGGGTTTTATATGGTAGTCTGTGATATCGAGTTAGGGTTATTTCCCCCATTACAAAGTAACTCCGTTTAAACTCTTTTTATATGTGGATATATTTTAGGAAGTTTCCAAATAGTGGGTTTCCATATGGATTTTTTTTCTTGACAGCACCTGGAACCTTCTCCAAAATATCATAGAACATAAATTGTATCTCAATGAATAAAAAATTACTTGTGTTCTGTCCAACCACAATTGAATAAAACTAGAAATTAACATCAGAGAAATTATATAAACCACAAGAAAATTGAGAATAAAAAATACATTTTGAATAACAGTGGCCATTTAAAAAAATCACAGAGGAAAACTAAAATTTCTTAAAGGCAAATGATAATGAAAGGACAACCTATCAGAACATGTGGAAAACAGCCAAAGAAATCTTACGAAGAAAATTTATAACAATAAGTGCTCATGTCATAAAACCTATTGTGGTGTTCCTCAAGGTTCTCAAAATACAACAAACGGCCATTCCCAGTCACAGTAGATGGTGTGGGAAATGATAAAGCTCAAAGAAGAAGCTAATGAAGTAGAGATTAAAAGAGCAGTACACAAAACTAACCAAACAAAGAGTTGGACCTTTGCTGGAGGCATTAGCATAACCAAACATGAATTATACTGCAGAGCTATAGTAATAAAGACAGCCTGGTGGTACTGACATAAAAATAGATAGGTAGACCATTGGAATAAGGGACCCAAAAGTAAAATGGTAAAGCTATGCCAATTTAGTTTTTGCCAAGGAGGCAAAAATATACATTGGAGAACAGCCTGTTAAACAAATCATACCAGCAAATCATACTAAATATCTTTATGCAGAAGAATAAATTAAATTCATATCTTTAACCTTGTACAAAATTTGTTTCCAAATGAATCAAAGATCTTAATTTAAAGCTTGAAATGTTGAAATATCTAGAAGAAAATGTGGGGAAATCTCTTTGAGTCACTGTAATAAGTAAGAAATTTCTTTGTGCACACCAGTAACACAGAGCCGAGCCCCCAGTATCAGCTGATGGGACTACATGTAAATGAAAAGTCAGCACAGCCAATTAGCAGAGCAATGGACAGTTCGCAGAATGGGAGAAAATCTTTGCCAGTCACACTGTAGACAAGAGAATAATATCCAGAGATTACAAAGAACTGAAGAAGTTAAATACCAAAGAAATAAAACTGCCAGTCAGCAAATGGACTAACAAATCTAATAGACGTTTTCAAAAAAGAAACGCAAATGGCCATTAAGTACTTAATAGTGTTTAGTGTCCCTAACCATCAAGGAAATGCAAATTTGCTCGAGTCTGAGACACCACCTTATCCCAGCATGAATAGCTGTCATAAAGAAATATGACAGCAAATCTTGGACTGATGTTTGGGGGATGAAAATGAATACAAATAGAAATCATTTTGGAGATTCCTTGAAAGACTGAAATGAGAACTATCACCTAGCAGTTTCACTCCTTGACATACGCTCAGAGCACGTCTCATCCTATCAGAGATGCTTGCACCTCACGTTTATTGTTACAGGCATATAAAATGAAATATTATTCAGTTCTTTGAAATATGAAGTCATAAAATTTTGAAGGGAAATGAATGGACTTAAAAAATATACTATTAAATGAGGTCATAATCTCAGAAAGAAAAAAATACCACATGTTCTCCCTAATATTCAGCTCCTAGCCTATATTTTTTATATCTACATTGGGTAAGCAAATGTGGGACATGTAGAAACAAAGAGGGTAGATATTAGGTGATGAAATATGAAATCCAGATAATAGTTACATGAATCA